GTGAACTTATCCATACTAAGTTATAACATACATATTACATTTTACAATTATCGAGTTGTTTGCACATGAAAACCCTCAATGTACTGCAGAGGTCACATCTGAATTTGATGTGGCCACACCTTTCTCCACCCATACCCTAGATAAGGCCTAACCCAGGCCCAGAGGCTCTCTCTCTCTCACTGTTCTTTTCTAGCTCTCTCTGTTCTTTTCTAGCTCTCCCTGCTCTCTCTCTGCTCTCGGCTCTCTCGCTGCTCTTTTCTAACTCTCTCTGCTCTCTGCTCTTTTCTAGCTCTTTTCTCTCTCTTTCCTCTCTCTCTTTCCTAGGCCTTTCCAAGCCGCGTGGAGTGCCAACCTTGCCTGGTCCCAGCAGGTCTACTGAATAAACCTACCCCTTACCTGAAGAAAAAAAAGAAAAAAGAAAACCCTCAATGTAAACCTCACAAGAGTTGAAAGCCAATGAGTCTAGTCCATGCCGACACTTCCTATGACTGAGTGGATCCACTCAAAAACCCAGTTAGAGCCACACGCTGATGGCTGATGCTTGTAATACTAGTTACTTGGGCGGCTGAGATTTGAAGATTGTTTCAAAGCGAGCTTGGGCAGTTAAGTCCATAGGATTCTTATCTCCAATTAATCACCAGAAGTTGACAAGCAGAACTGTGGCTCAAGTGGTAGAGCTCTAGACTTGAGTGAAAAAAGATATGGACCGGGCTTGGGCAATGAGTTCAAGCCCCATGACTGGCAACAAAAAGAAGAGAAAAATCTCTCTCCATCGCACCCACCCACACACATAGAAGGAAGCACTCTGCTCACAGAGGAGATAAATTATCTTCACTTCTCAGATCTCCAAGCAGCAGGACAAAAGGAGCAGCACTGATCAAGGTGTCCAAGAAGGGTGAAGAGCTGCAGTGCCACATCCAACCAGACCCCGAGGGGCATCAGTGCAAAGCAGACCAACACTGCCCCAACCTACACACTAGGGAAATGTCCAGTACTATGAGTAGCAACTAATAGTCCCAGGAAAACTACCAGCTGCCTGTCAGTCATTCAAATCTGTTGTCTTCTCTCTGGTACTCTGCCTCCACTTCTTGGCCAAAGTCCAACCTGGTTATAGAGATGGCTGTGGTCAGGGATGATGAAAATAACAAGCATCAAAAGCTACTCAAGAGGCTGAGATCTGAAGATCATGGTTCAAAGCCTACCACAGCAGGAAAGTGTCTCTTAGCTCCAATAAACTACCAAAAAGCCACAAGTAGAGCTGTGCCTCAAGTGGTAAAGTGCCAACCTTGAACAAAAAACTGGATAGCTCCCTGGCCCTGAGTTCAACCTCCAATAGCAGCACCAAAAAAGAAAGAGAGAGAGGAAAAAAAACTGCTAGTCACAAACTTCTTGATGATAATCTCCAATAATCCTAACCAGAATCCCAGATAGCAAATACCAATATAAGCAATGACTCAAGCAGTTTACCCAAAGCCTGCTGTCTGCCAAGCTATGACCAGGGCAGAAGCTCAGGAGTTGATTCTGAAGCCCTTCCCTACCAACTGCCCTGCCTTTCCTCAAAGGAAGATGATTTCTGTCTCACAGAAGTTGATTATAACATACAGCCTGAGGCTTTAGTTCTGCAATGCATTCTGCATTTCTCTAGAGCTATCCTCCCAAAATGAGAGGCAAAGAAACCTTGTTACATCTTTGGAGGAACCCAGAAAAAAGTTTTCCAAGTAACAAGTGATAGGTTCAGAAACTCTTCAGCTGCTTCCCCCAGATCCCAGGGTCCAACATCTCTCATCCATCTAGAAGGTGAGATAAGGACAAGACAGGTTATGTTGGGGGTCCACCACTTGCTAAAGTTCCTGGACTCACTGCAACTGCTAACACTTCCAAGCTTACAGCTCAACACCTTTGTCTACACAAGCAATCAGAGCTACTTCAAAGTCTCAAGTATAAATATTGCTTAAGCAACTTTAACTTTCCAGAGAGAAGAACAGAACTACTCCGGTAGGTACAGATTCCAGTATTCTGCTTTAAAATTAACCAGAGACCAAAGTCCCTTAGAGAAAAGTTTATCTTGCCCTTAGGGAATAGGATTCAAGTCTAGATGCAGTGAGGATTCAGGAGGCAAGTTGCCTGGGCTACTCATAATGCAGGAACCACTATTTCCAGTGTAATGTCTAAACAGGTGAAGCACACGTGCTCCATTCCACTTCACATACACCTGAAGGTAAACTGCCTGAAGGCCAGGGCCCTGCCTGGGTGTCCCCATCCCTGCAGACACCACAGTACTGACCTGGGACAAACTACTGAACCAGGACCCAGTGTTCCTCTCTCTCCATCTTGTCTTCAGCCCCTCTGCCTGAACTTCTCTGCAGAGGTCATGCTCTGCAGAGGTCATGGTCTCCCTCTCCTCACACTGGAGTGATTGAACCCAAGCCAAGGGGCAGAGAAGCCAAAAATGGTTCCTGTCTGATCCAGTAATTAATGGAGCTAGGCAGCCAGCCCAAACTCTCAGAACATTTCTCAATCACTGGACTTCAATGCCACTGGCCAAGTTCTACTCCATTTCCCTGGGTGGAGTGGGCCAAGAAAACAGTCAAGTATATCAGTACATCAGAAATCATGGGCTAGCTGCCAAATCTCTGGAGGGTGAAGAAGGCTCATGTCACTGCTCTTATTAGGCCCAATCTAACCAGCCAAAATGGTGCCACTTCTACCACCAGCACCTTGCAAACAGCAAAGGGGCTTCTGCTTGAAGAATTTGACACAAAAGGAAACTAATGTTGAGAGAACATGCATTGGAACAGGGGATGTGGATGAAGTGAGGCGCTGAGTTTACTTAATTCCCGGTATGGGGCATAGAAGGGGAGGAGGTGGGGCAGACAGCCACGTGCTAAGTGGAGGGTTTCCAGAGGTGACTAACATCAATCACACAGACCTGACCTTGAGATGAAAGTGCCAGAGCCAAGCCCAGGGTCCAAATGACACTCTTCAGAGGCGACTGCAACTAACTCCTTCAGGAGTCCTGCAGAACATTCTGTTGTTGGTTGAACAGGATCCTGGGTTTGCAAGGGAGGAGACAAACTCCTGTGTAGCATTCCCTTGGGTCTGATGAAACTATCCCCAAGGACAGAGTAACTCACAGGCTTTTCCTCAGGAGGGAAAACCTGGGAGGACAAATGTGGATGGGAGACTTGTTTCCACTATATTTTACTGCCCCTTTGGGTTTTCAAACCCTGTTCATGTTGGACTGAGGCTACATGTCAGTGGCAGAGTGATTGTCTCAAATACCAAAGCCCAGGGTTCCATCTCCACTATCTACGTTTGTATTATCTAATTAAATACAACTATATTTTAAAAACTCAGTTTGGTAGCTGAGTAGAAGAAGATGTTCTTAGCATCCAAGAGGCCCTGGGTCCAATCAGCATCATCAGGAAAAGTTATCTTCTCTTATATCATTATTTACTTAGCACATGCCAGGCACCAGGAGAGATGTTAAGTCTCAGGGGCTGGTAGTGAAGAATGGAGAAAATTAAATGTCAATCCAGACCCAAGTGCTGTGTTTCATGCCTGGAGTCCTAGCTACTCAGGAGGCTCAGATATCAGGACTAAGGTTTGCAGCTAGCCCAAACATACAAATCCAAGAGATTCTTATATCCAATTTTGCCAACCTTAGGTGACAAAGCTAAGGGAGAGCTCCCTGATCCATGCTTAAAGCCTTCACACACACACACACACACACACACATACCAAGTTTACCAAAGGCCAAGTGAGAAATCAGATCCTCCCACACAAGCCTGGGTAGGAAAGTCCTTGAGACTCACCTCCAACTGACCCCTAAAAGCTGGAAGTAGAGCTCTAGCACAAGTAGTTTTGTACTCCTCTTGAGCAAAAAAGCTAAGGGACAGAGCAATGGTCCTGAGTTCAAGTCCCAGTACTCATATCCAAATGAATAAAGAAGTCAATCCAGAACAGTGGAAGATGCCAGCAACAAGAGCCCTGTCAGAAGCTACTGGCTTTGTGAGAGGGAAACCAGGTCAGGTTTCCTGAAGAAGTACTTTCTGGGCCAAGTCTTAAAGGAAGACTAAGACCAGTTACCTCCTTCCCACGCGGACAACAGTCAGAGAAGCCTGAGCTTAGTGTAAGGTAGGACACAGAAGCAGGCCTTAGCTGAACAGCACTGAAAGCTCATCATGGCCCCTAAGGGGGAAGAATGCATAGCCTGGGGAAAGAGCATGGGAAGGCAAAGCTATCTTCTGCCTCCTTTCCTCCCAGGCTCCTCTCCTTTCCCCCAAGCACCAAGGACTCCTCCAGGGGTTGGCTAAGCAAGGGCACTCAGAGCTGACAGCAGTGAAGGGCTTGGAGGAGCACCTGGCACAAAGTGCTTTATCCACCACGTTCCGATTAAAGCCCAGGGGCAGGACAAGCCTTTGCAAACACCTTCCCCGAGAATGCCCCACGTCCCTGGGAGCAAGGCCTCTCTGAACTTGGATTTGCTTCCGGATACAATCTCTCTCACGGTAATGTAGAGTCAGAGACAGGTGAGGTCTGTCTTGTGCCAGCCCCTGCGGAGACCCGGGCAGCCGCTGGTGCCTCCGTTTCCCCCACACCAGAACTGCAGGAAGAACGCGGGCGCCTGGGTCAAGCGCTCCAGCCTGGCGCTGCGCTGCGCTGCGCAGGGCGGAGAGGGTCCTCCGGGTGCTGCGCGGAACGTGCGGGAGGCGAGCGGGAGGCGCTGGGCGCGCGGCCGCCCTCGCGCAGACAGGTGCCCGGCACGCGCGCGGCCTCCCGGCGCGGTCCCCGCGGGCTCCCGGGCGCAGCGCCTCCCGGCGCCAGCCTCGGCGCGGCGTCCCGGCGCGCGGTGCCCAGCCTGGCCGACGGCTCTCCGGCCCCGCCTCCGCGCGCGGTGCCCACGCCGTGACGGGGGCGCGCGGCCCCCTGGCCGCAGCCGGGCTTCCTGGAGGCGGGGCTCGCGCCGGCCGCCCGCCGCCCTCCGGCCGGACACTCACCAGTTCCCCGAGCCCACGATGCACACTTTCAGTGGCGCCTCTGCCATGGCCAAGCCGGTTCGATGCATCCCTGCCCGGGTCGCCCCGGCCCGCGGACGCCTCTACTCGCCCGGCCCAGCTGGAAGCGGCAGCGGCGCACGGAGACCCCACCCTGGACCGCCTCTGGGCCAATGGCCACCGCCACCCCGCCCGGGCGCCCCCGGGCCACAGCTGACAGCCGCGAGGCCCCGCCCCGCCACTCCCAAGAACCCCTGCGCACGCCGGGCCAGGGCCTGGCGGCCGCTCCCAAACCCCACCCCTTCCCGAGGCATTTCGGGAAGTGTAGTCCACGCCCCGCCCTCGTGCACACCCTAGTCTTTGGGCAGCAGTAGCTATCTCTGCTCTGGGGTTTGAGCTGGCTGCACCCTCAGGGACAGGGGAGGTCCGACCCAGCCCCTGGGGGGGTCCTCCTGCACGCCTCTCCTCCCCTTGTGCTACAGAAACTGCCACTGCCATTTGGCGCCCTGGGGTCGAGTTTCTAAGTTCAACCCCAAAGTGACTTGGACTTGATAAATCTCCCTGAACACACCTGTCTCTCCGGCCTCTGGCTCACGCACAACTCATAGGCAGGCAATTCGGAACTTCCCGGTGAACTTGGATCCTCTGAGGCCTGTGCACGGGAGGGTTGGAGACTAATCTATGTAGAGGCAAATCCGGAAATTGAACGGAGGTGAGGGGACAGGGGTCACACTCACACTCTTCAGGGCAGGCCTTGGCTCCTCCTAGTCTTGGCAGGTCTGACTGGCCCTTGTTTGTGTTGGTTTGTGGCTGGTTCTTTTTTTTTTCCTTGTTTTTAAATGGTGACCATCGTGGGGCTTGAACTCAGGGCCTGGACACTGTCCCTGAACTTCTTTTGCTCAAGTCTAGCACTCTACCTGATAGATTAGTAGACTTTGCCAGAGAACCATGCAGACATCCATGTACAGAGAACAAGAAAAGTTTATTGGCAGGAAAGGGGCTGGCAAGACTCCTTCTCACAAGGGAGAAGTGAGAAGAGGCTCTGGCTATTGTCTGGGGTGATCTATATAACGTAGGAGGTTTAGGAGGGACTAGAAGGGGCTAGGAGGCAGAAACCTTGGTGTGGACATGAAGGCCAAGGGCTTCATCATGGATTTATGGCTGCTGCCCAAGTAGTAGATAAGGGATCCTGCAGCTTCCCAGACCTGAAAATCACTCTGAGGGGTTCTTGTGGTCTTACATGGCGTAGCTGTCCCAGAGAAGTGCCATCCCAAGGTAAAGACCGTTGGAAGCTGATTATTTACTGCCTTTATTAAATGGGCCTACTGTTGCCTAGGAAGGGAGCACGCTAAGCTGTGGAGAGGGGAAGGAGTGTGCTAAGCTATGGGAAGGGAGCTCATTTTGCTAACACTACCACTTGAGCCACAGCTCTTGTTCTAAAGATTTATTAGAGGTAAGAGTCTCAGGGAGTGCTGGGAATGTGGCTTAGTGGTAAAGTGCTTGCCTAGCATGCATGAAGCCCTGGGTCTGATTCCTCAGTAACACATAAACAGAAAAAAACAGAAGTGGTGCTGTGGCTCAAGTGGTAGAGCACTAGCCTTGAGCACACAGTTGCTCAGGGACAGTGCCCAGGCCCTGAGTACAAGCCCCAGGACTGGCAGAAAAAAAATTTTTTTTTCCTGTCCAGTCTGGCTTCAAACTGAAATCCTCAGATCTCAGCCTCTTGAATAGCTAGATTATAGGCATGAACTACCATGTAAGGCTGTCATTTGTGGCTCTAAGACATGCTTTCCTCTGTCTTCATTTTGAGTGTCATTCTGCAATGACACTGAACTAGATGTTGTCTGAGAAGGATATGATTGTTGAAAACAGGTTAAACTATTACTGCTCTCACTGGAGCTAGCATGGGGATAGCCCTAGGCCCAGACAACCCAGATCAATTACATCAGAATCCTGAGAGGCAGGACTCAGATGTTAATTTTTTGTGTGTGTGTGCCAATGGTGGGGCCTGAACTGAGGGCTTCATATTTGCTTGGCTTTATCCAATCCAGGTTGGTACTCTGTCACTTGAGCCATACCTCCACTTGGGCATCTTGCTGGTTAATTAGAGATAAGCATCTTATGGACTTTTCTGCCCAGGTTGGCTTTGAACTTCGATCCTCAGATTTTACCCTACTAAGTAGCAAAGTGTACAGGCATGAGTCACCAACACCCTGTCAGATATTTCTCTTTTTTTATTTTTTTAAAGTTCAAAAAGTGATTGCAAAAACAAACACCTAGCTGGTCACTGGTCATCCTAGCAACTCAGGAGACAGACATCTGAGGATCAATGTTCACAGCCAGCCCAGGAAAGAAAGTACATGAGACTCTTATCTCCAATTAACCCCCAGAAAACAGGAAGTAGAGCTATGACTCAAAGTGTTAGAATGCTAGCTTTCAGCAAAAGAGCTCAGGATCCAGGTCCTGCTCAAACCCCTTGATGAAAAAAAAAAATAAAAAGAAACCCCAAAACCTGTCATGCCAACATTTACTTGGTGTCTGAGGTAGGAGAATCCTGAGTTGGAGGCCAACCTGAGCTACATAAGGACATCTTGTCTCAAAAGCTGAGGAAGGAAACTGGATAAAGAGCTTTAGAACAAAAATCTATGGACATTATATAAAGAAATAAATACTCTAGCATGTAGAAAAATTCCAGGCCCATTAGCTTGATGAAAGCACATTCAGTATTAGGTTACTTTTGGACTCTATGTGAAAGAATTATCTGATTTATTCCCTGTATTTAAGTACAGATATGCTTTAATGAAGTCTGCTTGGCAAGCCAGTCTCTCCTAAGCAGCTAGGATCGCAGGCATGAGCCACAGGTGCCTGGCATATTAACATATTTCTTCATAGAGTTAAGTGAACCTTGCTTGGAGAAAGGAAAATAGCCTTGAAATTTTTTTCCCCCATCTCTATGTAATCCTTCCACACAGCCCATTTACTGCCACCATCCTGGCTTCACTTAAAATGTCATTCAACCATAATAAGAACATTATGTTTTATATTCTTGTAATACTGTCTCCATCCTGTGCATGACATACAATTAATTGTGCTTTTCATTTGTGTAATATTTGAATTCATTCTTCTCTTCGTGTTAGACTATAAATTCCATGAAGATGGGTCTATGTAGTGCTGGATTCCCCAATCAGACCTGAAACTTGGTAGTCACATATTGTTAAATAGGTGAATATTTAGCTAAAGAAAATAAATTTGACAAGGCCATGTGCTCTTCAAATATTTTACATATTTCCCTGCGATCTGAAAAATTACACAGGATTCTAGATACTCATATTCAGTGAGACCAAAAAAGAATAGTCTCAGCCGGGTGCTGGTGGCTCACGCCTGTAATCCTAGCTACTCAGGAGGCTGAGATCTGAGGATTGCTGTTCAAAGCCAGCCCGGGCAGGAGAGACCGTGAGACTCCTATCTCCAATAAACCACCAGAAAACCGGAAGTGGCGCTGTAGCTCAAGTGGTAGAGCGCTAGCCTTGAGCTGAAGAGCTGAGGGACAGCGCCCAGGCCCAGAGTTCAAGCCCCACAACCGACCAAAAAAAAAAAAAGAATAGTCTCAGGAGAGAATCACAAAGGTGCAATGCCTAAATGCCTCTTAATATTTATATAAAATAATGTACATATAGAAATGAACTCTAAGCTAGGCACTGGTGGCTCATGCCTGTAATCCTAGATTCTCAGGGGACTGAGATCTGAGGATCACAGATCAAAGCCAGCCAGGCAGGAAAGTCTGTGAGACTCTTATCTCCAATTAACCACCAGAAAAAAAAAACAAAAAAACAAAAAACGGAAATGGCACTGTGGCTCAAGTGGTAGAGCTCTGACTTTGAGCCGAAGAGCTGAGGGACAGCACCCCAGCCCAGAGTTCAAGTCCCACGAGCGAAGAAAAAAGAAAAGAAAAAAAAAAAGAAATGAACTCCAAAGATATGGAAACAAAAGACATTTTTTTTTGTTTTTTCTTTTTCTGATGATTCTGTATTCTTTACCTTATATACAGTGTAGTCACATATGTATCTGTGAGAGGGGGAAGGAGAGACACAGAAGCCAGGGGGAAAAGGGTGAAAAGGTGCAGCAGAGGAACACACTGGACATTGATGAAAGTGAACTATACACCTTGTGAGTGGAGATGGAGGGAGGGGAGGGAGGGAATGAGGGAGCAGATGACACTGCGCGAATAGCAAGTACTCATTACCTGGTACATGTAAATTTGACCTCTGTATATCACCTGTATAGAAAAATAGTAAATTTATTTAACAAGCCTTAGGAGAGATGAAAAAGTACTTTATGTAACAAGTCCTTTGACAAAGATTGAGAATTGATCTGACTTCTGTTTTAAAATTTAGTCATGCTGGGCACCAGTGGCTCACACCTGTAATCCTAGTTACTCAGGAGGCTGAGATCTGAAGATTGCAGTTCAAATCCAGCCCAGGCAGAAAAGTCCCTGTGAAATTCTTATTTCCAATTAACCACTCAAAAAACTGGAAGTGGAGCTGTGGCTCAGAGTAGTAGAACACTAGCCTTGAGTGAACAAAAGAGCTCAGGGACAGTGTCCCGGCCCTGAGTTCAAGCTCCAGGACTGACAAAAAAAATAATAAAATAGTTAATGATATGATACTTCACATTTTCTAAGAGCTCACTTTCTTTCCCTCCTCCTCTACCTCCTCCTCCTCCTCTTCCTCCTCCTCCTCCTCCTCCTCTTCTTCCTCCTCCTCCTCCTCCTTCTCCTCCTCTACCTCCTCCTCCTCCACCTCCTCCTCCTCCTCCTCCTCCTCTTCTTCCTCCTCCTCCTCCTCCTTCTCCTCCTCTACCTCCTCCTCCTCCACCTCCTCCTCCTCCTCCTCCTCCTCTTCTTCCTCCTCCTCCTCCTCCTTCTCCTCCTCTACCTCCTCCTCCTCCACCTCTTCCTCCTCCTCCTCCTCCTCTTCCTCCTCCTCCTCCTCCACCTCCTCCTCCTCCTCCTCTTCCTCCTCCTCCTCCTTGTTCTTCTTGTTCTCCTCCTCCTCCTCCTCCTTCTCCTCCTCCTCCTCCTCCTATTCAATAAAATAATAGCAGTAAACTTCTCCAACCTCATCCAGTAGATGAGGCTTTTAGAACACCAAACAGGTAACACCACGAAGGAACCACCTGGATAAATTATACTTACACTACTAAATATACACACTATTGAAAGCTGCAAA